GAGACACAATACATCTACAGGGCCTATATATGCAAAGTGTACGAGTGCATGTATTATATATACGTGTCTCATGAAAAAACATTCGATACTTTTGCAGTTGTGTTTATATATACATATAAATGTATGTGATCCGGTATTTTCTCTCGTGTTACGTTACATACTCGTGATATACAAATATAGCTAGAGAGAAACATTAAAGATACAGAGAGTGAGTGAGAGAGTGAGAGAAATAGGAGAGACACGACAGAGAGAGAGAGAGAGAGAGTAGAGAGAATAGTGTGAGAAAAGAAACAACCATTGGAAAAAAGAAAAAATGACAAACGTGACAGCAATAATATATGTATATATATATATATATGCATATATACGTATATACACATATATGTATATATATATATGTGTGTGTATATAGAGAGATAGAGAGTAAAAATATTCGAGCGTATATATACGACATCGTGATGCATGTGCATACATACACGCGTGCACGGACACGTGGCATCGAGAGAAGCGGAAATTTTTAGGTAGGTTGAGTACGCTCTGGGCGTCGGGGAATTGAACCACCGACAGTGCCTGATATCGTTCGTACGTACACCAAGTGGTATTATCGAAACGAGCGTGTGCGTGCTTTTTACCGAGAGAATGAAATTTTTAGGCGAAATCGGTCGAGACTCGAGATCTCAAAATTTTTGTTTTGTCATTCTTAATATCCGGAAGGGGAATGAGAATTCTTTTACGAAATTTCCTTCGATTTGGAAAAATGAAAATTCTTCGAGAAGTTCCTTTTTGCAATTTTTTAAAAAAAAGGAAAACGAAAAAGTTCGAAAGTTCGCTACGAATTTTTTTAACGAAACTTCCTTTGACTTGAAAAAATGGAAATTCCTTGGGAAATTCCTTTTCACAATTTTCTGAAAAAAAAAAGAAAGCTCGAAAGTTCACTACACGACAGTAGAGAAAAGTAAAAATTTTCACCAGGGTTCGTACGTACTATTTTGTAAATTTCTACGAAGTAAAATTTTTTCTGCAAAATAATTCGTACAGTATTGCACACGCTCGTGATCACTTCCGGTCTGAAATAATCGTCACGTGTCCGCTGCGTGTACTTGTATACACGTATGTACATTGATACACGTACGTATATAACGTATACGTAACAAATATATGTATAGATATGTAGAACAGTCAATAACCAGTCACAAAGTACCTTTTAGTCGAGTTTTAGCGAGCTTCTCTCTACGCTCGGGCTCAGACTGAAACAGAGATCATCACGCGTCATTTTCACGCGATATTAAGGGGCTTTTGCATGGTTGCGCACCGCCATCGATCATCGATCACCCTCCGCTAGCTGCTCTTCCGGATCTCCTTTTCTCGATCCCCATTTTATTCTCATTCGAATACGTTATTTCACATCTTTTCACTTCGAATCGAACCAGAGAGGAATATTGACCTTTCCGATTTTCTTTTCTTGTGCTCTCTAACTTGTTAACTGGGTTAATTTTTTAATAAGTAATTAAAGATTTCAACGTGTACTATTATCAATTTTAGAAAGATTGTGTGCTCGAAGGATTTTCACGTTGTTCAAGGACCAACGTGCCGTTTCTTGGACGTCTTCGTGGCACGGAAAGTCGCCTCGAGCTCCACTAACCTACTTTCGAGCATCTCGTTCCTAATTTAAAAGTATCGCCCGCGTTCGAACCGGACAATTGGTCTCATCGACGATAGTACTGTACCCGGGTCGTTATGCGTATTAAATCTTCCTTAAATGGGCGGTGCAATCGCGTTCTGCGGATGCAAAGTGCTATTCATACTCGTCGATATGGTGTAAAGGCACCATTTTTTTTTATCACTGTAATTCACTTTCTGTCAATTTTGTTCAATAAATATATATATTTTTAAATTTTCACTTGAAATCACTTTAATTACGATTCAAATTTTGAATATTAATTTCCAAAAACATATAAAGATAACAAATCTCTTTCTATTCCATTGTCCCTTCTCTAGTATTTTTAAACTTTCACTTAGCATAATTTTGATTTGCATTCTAATTTTTCAAACTAATTTCCAAAAATGGACAAAATAAATCTCTTTCAAATCTGTTTTTGTTTGATTGTGTCTCCTCTAGTATTTTTAAATTTTCATTTAGAATGATTCGAGTTACTATTCCAATTTTTCAAATTCGTTTCCAAAAAAAATGAGAGTATAAATCTTTTTAGGAATTTTAAATCCCTATTAGTCCAATTTTTTGCACATTATCACCATGTAGTATAGTATCACGAATATTTGATTCTTCTAAGCGGGTTAGCGAAGCATTGTGTAGCCCGAGGATCGATCTCTCGGTCCGATTCGAGCTTTTGTCTCGCGAGGATCGAGATCTAGCGATCCCTGGTGATCAATTTACTTACATGATGCCTGGCTGAGCTCAGTTTGGGTTTATCGCACACTGGACATTCGAGGCGCCAAATCGCTGACGATGCACTCGAGCCCGGCGCACGGTGCAACGAGGATGCACATTAAAAACGCATAAACGCGGCTGGCGACGTGGGGAAAGAACACTTCCGGGGTGGCGTGTATCGAGTGTATATACAGGACGAAGAATCGATCACGCTTAAATACCTCGAGACCATGTTTGCTAGGATAAATGGTATCCTCTTTTCTTTTTTTCTTTTTTTTTTAACAGAAAATTAACTGATAATAATTGTGGTAGAAAAAATTTGTGTGAGATATTAAAATAAATATGGGAAGGTTTCTTCCTATTAAGAGAATATTTTGGAAGAAGACTATGGATGTATGAAAAATTTCTCAAGCATTATTTTTAAATAAGAGTGTGAAATTTCTCAAGACAATTATGGGATGATAGTGAACCTATGATTACTCCAATTATTATGGGGATATTATAGTTCTTCGTTGTTGCAAGAATAACCTTAAAGACGAGTCGAAAAATTCTGAAGAAAACTATAGGACAACAATGAACCCATGATTACTCTAATTATTTTTTGGAATATTATCACAGAACAGTGAAACAATTTTCAAGTGAATGTACAATGATAAAAAAGGAATCTAAACACTTGCCTAAATCTCCTTTCTTGCCTAAGGTTCTCCTCGAAAAATTCTAAGAATTCAAAAATCCTCCACAAAATTGCCACTTTAAATATATTAAAGCAAAAGCTAAAAATTCGAAAGATATCGTCGTTACACCGCGTCACCGAGCTCCACCTTCTACTCGCAATATCGACCGTTTTGTCTTTGACTACGAGGATCGACGGAAGCAACGTTTCACCGCTCACACGAGTCTTCCTTCCGGTGTTCCTCCACTATCACGTTTTCTCTCGATAATATTTATCCATCAACGAAAATTATTCTTATTTTACAGGACATTTTGTTAGCAGAACTCTCGTCAGGCAAAATAAGCGGACAATAGTAATACTGTGAAGCAAGAGAGAAAGACAGAGAGAGAGAGAGAGAGAAAGAGATAGAGAGATAGATAGATAGAGAGAGAGAGAGAGAGAGAAAGAGAGACATAAGAACGACGATCTCTTTTTTTTTTAATCCAAGATCGACACTCTCTGCTGTATGATGAATCAAGGGAACAGAAAAGACAGAAAAGAAAAAAGGAAATAAAGAAAAAAATGTTTGGGAATTTGTTAGAAAAATGTTATAAATTTGGGAAGATGGATCAATGAGGTTCGAGATATCACGATTCTCGTCGGACAGTCTCTGTGTTCTTTGTGTCTTTAGCCGTACTTTCGGTCTCTGAGGCTAGCATTCCGGTATGCAGAGTACTTACAGTGGACTCCCCATAATTAAATGCTACGTTAAAAGAAAACTCGCTTCCGAGATATATTTTTTGGTATTCTCTTTTTCTCTTTTTAGGAGAATTATAATTAAGAATATCGTTTTCATGGAGGGTGAATGGTGGATATTGACGCGTGAACGCCATTTTCGAGAACACTTTCGTGACAGAAAAATAACTGAAAAAAATTCGTATAAATATGTTTCTTTCAGAACTGTGTTCAAGATGTAGTTACTTTTCGTGTCGCACTGTTTAAATAATTTTATGAGATAGAGTGTTTTAGAAATAGACGATTGTCAGTAGAGTCTTTATGTTTTCTGTGCAACACAGAAATTTCACCAACTCAAGCACAGTTCACGTAGAAACGAACATTTATAGAAACCCTCCTCTTCCTTTTTCCATCAGATATATCCCGGAAATGGCGTGCGCGCGTCAACATGCCACGAATTAATGCGCGCTGCCAACATCTGGCTGGAATGAAGGGTTTCTCGATTCTCAGAAAATTTCCAAAAATTCATTCATAAAATAATTACCAAAGTTATGAAAATTTAACCCTTTGCTGACAAATATCGTGAAACAAGCGACATTACGCTTCTACTTTATCGAGACGAATACCGTTACTATGAAAGCGAAAAATAACTTCTCGTTACCTTTATCATTACTGCAAATATGTTTCACGTGTCGCTGTAAATCCATTATATTTACATATACTAGGTGTACCAATTAATTCGGTACCTTTTCTCACAAACTACGATATTTATTTGCAAAATGTCAAACAATTTTAACGTTCGATGAATTCAAAACACGAATTCAATTCCGTCTCTGATAAGATACGGCGGTTTGCAATCGATTAAGTTGTCAAGACTTTGCAAAAAAAGGCACCGAATTAAGTTGTAAAGGACACCAAATACTTTCATCAGGATCGGTCTGTTTTTGGATAATATTCGCACGTTTTACACTAAAAAAAAATGTCACCCTCGAAGGGTTGAAATTATTAAAACTTGTTCAATTGAAAAAATTTTTGAATTTAAGAAAAAAAAAGAAAAGAATAGAGCAGAGAATTGATTAATCGAGAGAACCTGCATTCGTCGAGGACCGTGGCAGCCATTGCGACAGGCGGTCCCCGAGCAGCCATTTTCGCGGCTCGAATGGTGTTTCGCGGGCTTACTGTACGAGAGAACTCGACAGGGAGGCGGTGTTTGCCGTCACATACCCGTCTGAGAGTGCGGTGAGTCCATACCACGGTGACCATCCTCAGGCCTGAGCACCGGAGAGAATGTCGGCGCACTCGACACGGACACCGTCGGGGGCTTTTCAGTCTTGTCGTTCCTTATGAGCTGATGTACTGGTGGTGGGCCTGGAACAAATAGGATACGCTATTCAAACACTGTTCTGAATTCGATGAAATTTATTTGAAAGAATATCGAAGACTTTTTGGATAAAGTTCTAAATGGCCCTGGTGGCCGATCGACGCGAAATTTCATGGGAAAGGTGAGTCGACTCCAAATATAAAATATTTTTATGCACATTTTCCATGCATAGGCAGCACTCGATGTATTAGTAGGGTAAAGTATCCGAATATGAGACCCATTTCTTTAAGGAAGCATAATTCTCGATTAAAAATACTTTTATTAAAATACGATACATGTTTTAAATGTAAGATATGTACACCTTTGCAACATATTAGAAATTATAACGAAACAGATAGAGTTCCATTGTAATAAAATAAAAATGAAAAGTATGCAAAAACATGACTTGAAAAACTGGTCGCCTAATATGAGACCCAAGTTTCACCTTCTTAAAACTTATTTTTGCTGTCTTTTTTCACACATTGGGCATATGAAATTAATTTCGTCTGCACCGCAGTCTTCGTGGGCCCACCGGTAACACTTTATACAGTAAAACGAAATTGAGTTACCTAATATGAGATCTTTCTTATAACAGGAACTTCCAAGGGTCTCATATTCGGAATCAATAGCGCGATAATTATTAAGTAGCTTCGAGGTTAAGTCTTTGTTATTCAACGATACGCAACTAGTGAGCCTTAAACTCCATTGCATGTACTATACAACAATATTTCTGAAAATGATTATACACTTACTATTTTGGAAGTATTTGCAATTTAATCGAACCACTTCAAAAACTTTCTACAACGTATTTCACAAATATGGTTGCTCAAGAAGCTCAATTGATTTTAATAGTTTGATATTTAATTTGATAATTAACACGGTTAATTAAGAAATGAAACAGCATCGCTACAACATTCAAGAGTTCTGTAACGGAGATAAGCTGGGGTCTCGTATTAAGAGAGGTTTCATATTAGGCAACTTTACCCTAACGTCTGTATACGCAGTTTCAATGTACAGTATATTCTCCCCAAGTGTCAGACCGCAAGAAAGCTAAACCTGACACTCGTAGAGTCAGGGACTACGTTTCGGAGCCTCGCGCCCGCCATTGTAGTTTGCCGAACGTAGGCAAGGACAGCGAGTAAAAGATATATATGAAACGTGAGTCGAGGCAACCAGGCAATTTAAATACCAACTTTTTTAATTTTACGTTTTTTTATCCCGAAATTTTTCTTAACATATTGAGATTTTTCTGATGAAAATGATATCAAACACGATATAATTTGAACAACTTATTAACACGTTCACTGTCGCGCCAGATTTATAGGTTGCTGTCAGGCGGCCACAAGAAAATACATTTTAAGCATAGGATTATAGTATTATATTTGTTTCATGAATTGTGATTTACTAATCTAATTCTTCGCAGGAGTTGCATGAATTTTGCATGTTAAGTAGTTAGTTACATTATTGAATTGTATATTGTGAGCTGATTTGCAACGAGTGCACTGTACTCGTTGCACTATGCCCCTAATTAAACCGTCCAAGTAGTTTACCGTGATAAATCAATTTTCAATTTTGATAAATATTAGAGTCAGTGCAACGCGTATTGAAATAATAGCTTCATCCTTAGTTCGCTTATTATTGAATATTTTTCCGCGTTTAACTATTTCCTCCCAATTCGCGTTTTTGCTTTTCTTTCAATTTACTCGCGTTTATTTGATACTTTCTTTCAATTTTTCACTCGCGTTCTATGAAAGTTTTGTTCGATAGTAGAGTCTAAAGTAATATAAATTCGCGATTTCTCCCCCTCTAAATGAATCGCGTTTCGAAGCACTTTTCGCGTCGCCCATTCCACAGTGACTCACAAAGTGTGAGTCTGTGAGTCTTGGGAAATGAACTGGGAGAGGAAGGAAGGAGGCAATGCAGTCAAATCCAAGTTGCAGAGCCCAGCTGCCTAATCTTCGAATTGTGAGTGACAAAAATGGGTTTTTTTTTCTGGTGATATGGGTAGTTAGTTGTGTTATATATTGTGCTGCCCCTAATTAAACCGTCTCACTAGTGTTTCGCAATTAATAATCGATTTTTACGAGAAGTTTTCAATTTTTCAAAATATTAGAGTCAGTGAATCGCGTATTGAAATAATAGCTTCATCCCTAGTTCGACTTATTATTGCATATTTTTCCGCGTTTATCTGATATTTCCTCCCAATTCGCGTTTTTGCTTTTTATTCAATTTACTCGCGTTTATTTCATGCTTGTTTCAATTTTTCACTCGCGTTCTATGAAAGTTTTGTTCGATAGTAGAGTCTAAAGTAATATAAATTCGCGGTTTCTCCCTCTCTAAATAAATCGCGTTTCGAAGCACTTTTCGCGTCGCCCATTCCACAGTGACTCACAATTCGTGAGTTTGTGAGTCTTGGAAAATCAACGCTTGGAGGAAGGATGACCATCTGAGAGGAAGGAAGGAAGGAAGGATGCAACGAAATCGACATTGCAGAGCCCAGCTGCCTGTCTGCGAACTGTGAGTGAATTTTTTGAGGGTTTGGTGATTGGTTATATATGTGTGTGCATGTGCATGTTTGAAGCTGAACTACCAAACTTGGAAGAAGAAATCGAAGGATGTGAGTTCACATCCGAACTCTACTGCACTAAAGGTGCAAACGCCCTCCCATTATTAGAGTATCCCAATAGTATACCGCGTTAATTCTTAATAGAGTCAATTTTCACTACGAATGCCCATTACTTTCGATCGATACGAGAATTTATTACGTCGCGTCGCGTTTCATAATAGCTTCATCCCTTTTTCTTTCTTTGCTTTTCTTTTCTTTTTTTGAGAACGTTCAGTTGTTACCTCCCTTAAACCTTTGCTAAATACCCCATCTAAAATGGACTACATGAGAAAATGGAGGATGGTAAAAATTCGCGATTTCGGGTACTAAATAAAATTCAACGAATTAAACTACACTTGAAAGAAATCGCGATCCGTACACAATTTCGCGCGACACTTCCACAGCTTCCTAAGTCTGGTGGGTCCTTCAGTTTGGCTTTTTGGTCTCTCAATCTGGCATTGGGTCCTTCAATCTGGCATTGGGTCCTTCAATCTGGCATTGGGTCCTTCAATCTGGCATTGGGTCCTTCAATCTGGCATTGGGTCCTTCAATCTGGCATTGGGTCCTTCAATCTGGCATTGGGTCCTTCAATCTGGCATTGGGTCCTTCAATCTGGCTTTTTGGGTCTTTAAATCTGGCTGTGGATCTCTCAATCTGGCTGTGGATCTCTCAATCTGGCTGTGGATCTCTCAATCTGGCTGTGGATCTCTCAATCTGGCTGTGGATCTCTCAATCTGGCTGTGGATCTCTCAATCTGGCTGTGGATCTCTCAATCTGGCTGTGGATCTCTCAATCTGGCTGTGGATCTTTAAATCTGACTTTGAGTCACTCAATCTGGCATTGGACCACTGGTGGAACCAAATTTCGAGGCTTGGAGGACTCAAATCTAGCTGATGGAACTAAAATTCAAGGCTTAGAGGATGCAAATGGTTCACTGAGGGAATTTCAGACTCCATGGATCTGAGAGGAAGATGAGATGCAACCAAGTCCATGTTGCAGTGGTCAGCTGTGAGTTCTGTGAATGGTGAGTCGCATATTTCCTTTTTCTTTTCTTTTTATATTCATTATGTATTATTTCCAGTTCAGAAATTTTACCACTTTCTTCCAGAATATACACTCGTAATTTATTTATTTGCAATGAATAACCCAATTTACTGATTTTCAGAAGTTACAAAATTTCTAATTTCTTAATTTTTACTAATTTTCAGAAGTTACAAGTATTCCTTTAGCTAGAAAAATTACAAAACGAAAATATATAATTGATGCGAGAGATTTGCTTAATGAACATTCTGTGGTAACCCATAGGTAACTGTGTCAAACAATTGTCACTGCTAATTATTATTCCACAATAGCCCATCGATCTATTCCAATTTATAATAAAGCTTCTACAGTTTCCACCAACTATTTCGAATTTTAGTTCAATTAGAAAATCAGGAACTATACCAATCCTCGACGTCCTTTGTCGAATACATATTCAGTAAGAAATTATGGAATATCCAAGTAAATCAATAGGATTCTTGACGTAATGACGAATCTTGTTAGTGGTGAATCTTAGGCAATTCGCGTCATTTCTTAAAAATTCTCCTTTTCCAAAATTAAACTAGCAAGTAAGCGAAGTTCTAAGTTAAGAACCGTGTGTGTGAGTTTTAATTTTAAGGATTGTAGTTGATAAGGTAAAATAAATTAGCCTAAGAAAATAAAAAATAATTCTATTCATCCGCCGATGGACGTCGTGGGATGCGTGCGTTTTACTTTTAAGTAGTCCATAAAATAAAATAAGTAACTATAAGATAGAAAAATTGTATCGAGTACAATGTGCGCGCTCTCTTACAGTGATACGCGTTTCTCATTCGTAGCTAATTACTAAAAATGCTTTCTACATTTTGCTATCGTCGATTCGAAACATAGAACATTAAATTCTCGATCACTCAGTTCCTGCGAGTTTATTCGCGACTTAATCACTCGCGAGTAGCGCGCGATACTCGCGAGTAAATTCGTCGTGTATGCTCGCTGGTTCTTTAGAATGATAGCGAATTTCTCGTTGCGCTCTGAATTCAATCTGACCGCGATTTATAATTTTTTGAAACCCTATCAAAGGAGAGCATTGAATTTTTCCAATCTTTAAATTAACTATGACAAAATGATTAGCGTTGCAATTTCAAATAAAATATAAGACACTCCTTAAAAATTTATGTTAAGAACACGAATTTTTGATAAAGTGTCTTATCTCCTTTGCTACGAATGAGAATCGCGTATCTCTGAAGATAGAGAGCTGCCAGTAGGGCCCTTGTTTTTGTCGGGTCCCTTGCGTAGTCACCTCCTCGTGGTGGGACCTGGTAATTGGTATCCTTTTCCAAAGAAAATTCTCACTTTTGCAAAAGGATACCAAGCTAAGAACTACGC